GCATCGGCCCTGGACAAACCTTCTCATCTACAAAATCAAGGTTAAGAGCAGAAGCAATAATGGTGATCATGCCACCTATAGTGATGTTGCCGGACCCAGTGGCAACATCCTCTAGGTGATCGACAAACCAGGCCCCTACATCTAGGGCCGTACTACCCTCGCTCAAGTGCCATAGGAAGTGAAGCTCCCTAGTGGACACTACACCCGAACTATCACCTCTAACGAACGTCGTGTTCGCTATGGTGCGCTGTGACATCCTAAAGGCGGGGTGGATTATGGCCGTAGCTTTATCAGTCCTAGGGTTGTAGTCGAAAAGGCCGGTGATCTTCCTCCAAAACTCACCCGCACAATAGTTACAGGGGGGCCTATCCTTTGGTCCTATGGTGCCGTTAATTGGCCACCCAAAAGCTTGGTTCACCCTCTTTATATTCAAGTTGTGTTGGGTGTTCATGAGTTGGAAGGTAAGGCGGCGGGGGGACCTAATGTTGTCTCGTTGCACTTGAAAGGTGGAGAGGAATTCAAGTGTCAACCTTTTGTAGGTCGGGGCGCTAAAATCTAGCCAATTTCCTAAGCCACAGCCCTCGAAAAGCATCCTAACATCGTCCCCTACCCCTAAAGCCTCGGCAACACTCTCGTCATATAACTTTGTAGGTCGAACTCTCCTTCTACTTATTCTTATATAGTTATTCAAGAATTTTGGGTCATTGAACACGATTCCCATGGTGTCCACTTGTGGTGGATCAACGGGAGGAGGAGGAGAGGGGTTGCGGTACCTAGCATCCGTGTTTCTAGGTCGATTTCTTCTAGATATGGTCGATCTTAATGCAATGCATCAAAAAAACCAAGACAAAATAATCACCTCGCAACCACACAAAGAGACTAAGTCCACAAGTTGACCAACCAAAGCTCAAACAAGGCCAATGAACACCACACAATCAAGTCAAGTTCTAAGTCTCCCACCTAAAACAAGGAAATCACCAACTAACAAAGACCACTTCAATGATGCATCTACAACAATTTTACATCGATTTCATGCAACATTATCAAACAAACCAACACAACAATCCACCTAAACAAGCATGTTCTTCCTTCATGAAAATCAATTTTTCAACCTCACTTACAAAAAAAATCCAATTCTCAAAACACACCAAAATTCATTCAAACTCAATAATGCTTTTCAATTATCAACTATCAATCACTCACAACCAATTCAAACAAACTTTCTCAAGCAATTTCATGCAAAAATTCAAGAAATTAAACATGAAATTAGTGAAAGGGAGGAACGATTATACCGAGCTTATCATGGGTGTAAAACCCGCAAATGAACCTTTCTAACTTTCCTTTTGCTTACTTGAACTTACTCCTTCAACCAATTGTCTTGAACTTTAAATCCAAAGAAAACACCCAAATTGATTTTTCAAGGTTAGGGTTTGAGTATTTTGGGTGATTTCTGGGTTTGAATGTGAGAAAAGGAGTAGTAGATTGTGAAAATGTTGAAATGGAGTGAAGATTTTGGAGAAAATTGTTGAAATTGGGTGAGAATTTGGGTGATAATGGAGGATTGAGTGGGTTTTGAAAGAGGAAGTAAGAGTTTTAGAGAGAGGAGGAGTGAGAAACGTGAGATGGAGAAATGAGAGTGAGTGAAGATTTTTTTTCGTTATAACCGTGCTGCTGCCAGGTTTTTCGGGGCGGCACGGACGTGCATCAATTGGCACGGACGTGCAGCCTCAGACAGAAGCGTCAATAGGATACTGACTTGCTTGGCACGGACGTGCAGAATTCGGCACGGACATGCTAAGTAGCACGGACGTGCGTAATTTGGCACGGACGTGCAGCCTCTGACATAAACTTAGATAACATATTGACTTGTTCAGCACGGACGTGCAGGACTTGGCACGGACGTGCTTAGCCACCTTGCACGGACGTGCTTAATTTTGCACGTCCGTGCTAATCTGGAGAAATTTAATTCAAAGTTTCTGGTAGCTTCTGACTGCCTCTACACGGACGTGCGATACTCTGCACGTCCGTGCAGACCTGATGCTGCACGATCCTCCTTTTTTTTTTTTTTGAATAATAGTAATAGTAAGGCATAATAATAATAGAATTATTATCATTACCATTATTATTATTATTATTATTATTATTATTATTATTATTATTATTATTATTATTATCTACTACTTCACTTCCACAAAAAACCTTTTCTTACTTTTCTTTTCATCAACACCTACAAAAGACATTTGAGAGAAAAGTTAGTAATAGTAAGAGTGATGGAAATTAAATAATAGTTTGTGAGAGAGAGTTGAGAAACTCGGGTTGCCTCCCGGAAGCGCTCTGTTAACGTCACTAGCTTGACGACATTGCGAGATCAATGAGAGTAGGGAACATCAAACTCATCAAGGTGAACAACCTTGGCTTCCTCATGCACGAAACCGTCAAAGTATGCCTTAAGCCTTTGGCCATTCACTTTGAACGGTTCACCATTGTTATTTGAGATTTCTATCGCTCCATATGGAAACACCTTCTTAACGGTGAAAGGTCCACTCCATCTTGACATAAGCTTACCCGGAAACAACTTCAACTGGGAATTGAAAAGTAGGACCTTATCACCTTCCTTAAACTCCCTTTTGCTAATATGCTTGTCACGCCAAGCCTTGGTCTTTTCTTTGTAAATCCTTGCACTCTCATATGCATCCATTCTTAATTCTTCCAAGGCGTGGAGGTTAAGCAACCTCTTCTCACCGGCGCTTTGAAGGTCGAAATTTAATGTTTTGATAGCCCAATGAGCCCGATGCTCAAGTTCTATCGGCAAGTGGCATGACTTCCCATAAACAAGCTTGTATGGTGTGGTGCCAATAGGAGTTTTGAACGCGGTGCGATAGGCCCATAGAGCATCATCAAGATTTGTAGACCAATCTTTTCTAGACTTATCCACTGTTTTCTCAAGGATCATTTTTACCTCGCGGTTTGAAATTTCAGCTTGACCACTTGTTTGGGGGTGGTAAGCTAATGACACCTTGTGCCTCACACCATATTTCTCAAGGAGAGCTTGAAAGAATCGCTTTGCAAAGTGTGAACCTCCATCACTAATCACAGCCCGGGGCACTCCAAACCTTGGGAAAATTACTCTTTTGAAGAGCTTGACCACAACCTTAGCATCATTAGTAGGAGATGCAACCGCTTCCACCCACTTTGATACATAATCGACGGCCACTAGAATAAACTTGTTCCCAAAATAGCTCGGGAAAGGCCCCATAAAATCGATGCCCCATACATCAAAAATTTCAAGTTCAAGAATGTTGTTCAAAGGCATTTCATTTCTTTTTGAAATATTACCGGTTCTTTGACACCGGCCACAAGCTTTCACCACACCCCACACATCCTTGAACATTGTTGGCCAAAAGAAACCGCATTACAATATTTTCGCCAAGGTCTTGTTGGCACTCATATGTCCTCCACAAGGTGAGGAGTGACACATTGTGGGACATCTTCAATTTCATTATCCGGGACACACCTTCTAAAAAGGCCATCAACACCTTGTTTGAAGAGTAAGGGGTCGTCCCAAAAGTATTGGCAAACATCATGAAGAAACTTCCTTTTTTGTTGATAGGAGAGGTCGGGAGGAAGAATAGAGCAAGACAAGTAGTTTGCAATGTCCGCAAACCATGGTGCCGGTGCTTGGAGAATAGCAAATAGTTGATCATCCGGGAATGAATCGTCAACTGGCAAGTTATCAAGATCACCTACAAGGATAGGCAACCGTGAAAGATGATCGGCCACCACATTTTCGGCACCCTTCTTGTCCCTAATCTCAATGTCATAGTCTTGTAAGAGCAAGACCCACCGTATCAATCTTGGCTTTGGTTCCTTCTTGGACAAGAGGTAATTCAAGGCCGCATGGTCGGTGAAGACTATGACTTTAGAACCCAACAAGTATGACCTAAACTTCTCAATTGCATGAACAATGGCTAGAAACTCCTTTTCCGTGGTTGTGTAATTACTTTGTGCATCATCCAAAGTTTTGCCAGTGTAGTAGATAGCATGGAGCTTCTTATCCTTCCTTTGTCCAAGAACGGACCCAATGGAAAAATCCTATGCATCACACATAAGCTCAAAAGGAAGCTCCCAATTAGGGGGTTGAATGATAGGAGCCGAAATCAATGCCTCCTTCACCTATCAAATGCTAGCAAACAATCATTAGTAAACACAAAAGGGGCATCCTTTACCAACAATTGAGTGAGCGGCTTTGCGATTTTTGAAAAATCCTTTATGAACCGGCGGTAAAAACCCGCGTGTCCAAGAAAGCTCCTTATCCCCTTCACATTTGTAGGGGGTGGGAGGCGCTCAATGACCTCAATTTTGGCACGATCTACTTCAATGCCCCTACTAGAAATTACATGACCAAGAACAATTCCTTCCTCTACCATGAAATGACAATTTTCCCAATTTAAAACCAAGTTCACCTCTTGACATCTTTTCAATACTTTAATCAAATTTGAAAGGCAAATGTCAAAAGATGAACCAAAAATAGAAAAGTCATCCATGAATACTTCAATTGATGATTCAAGCATGTCGGAAAAAATAGACATCATACACCTTTGGAATGTGGAAGGTGCATTACAAAGTCCAAATGGCATCCTTCGATAAGCAAAGGTGCCAAAAGGGCATGTGAATGTAGTCTCCTCTTGATCCTCGGGTTGGATTAGGATTTGGAAGAATCCCGAGTATCCATCCAAGAAACAATAGTGACTATGTGATGCTAGTCTTTCCAATATTTGATTGATGAAGGGGAGTGGGAAGTGGTCTTTCCGGGTGGACTTATTCAATTTTTGATAATCAATACACATCCTCCACCCGGTGACCGACCTTGTAGAAATGGTCTCACCCTTATCATTCTCAATGATGGTCATGCCTCCTTTTTTAGGCACAACTTGAACCGGGCTAACCCACTTACTATCGGAGATAGGGTAGATTATGCCCGCTTCAAGAAGTTTTAAAACTTATTTTTTCACAACTTCCTTCATGTTTGGATTGAGCCTTATTTGGTGCTCAATCGAGGAAGCATGATCATCATCAAGTAAAATCTTATGCATGCATATAGTAGGACTTATCCCCTTAATGTCATTAATTTTGTACCCAATGATACCTCTATACTCCCTTAAAAAAACTAGGAGTTTCCCAAGAGAGGTATCATCAAGTTTAGCATTGAGAATAACGGGATAACTCTCACTATCATCAAGAAAATCATATTTAAGTAAAGGAGGAAGGGGTTTAAGTTCAACCTTGTGAGGAGGCGTAGTCCTCTCCTCTTTTACCTCCACATTAAGCACTTCCACTTTATTTTCGTTGTGGACTAAAGGTTGGTTGAGCAAAAGATCATACCCCCTCGTTTCTTCACCTTCCTCAACTAAGCCTCCCGTTAGGATAGCTTGTAAAGGATCTCCTTCAAACAAATTTTCTTGGAACTTCTCTAAGTCCCTTTCCAATGTATCAACTCTATGAACTTCATCATACAATGGCTTTTTCAATGTTTGTGGAAATGAAAATGATATTTTCTCATCTCCCACATTCAAGTTCAATATTCCTTGCTTCATCTCAATCACAACACCCGCGGTGTTCAAAAACAGTCTTCCTAAGATTAGGGGCACCGTAGTATCTTCTTCCATTTCCATTACCACAAAATCACACGGCACAAATACTCTTCCAATTTGAACCGGTACATCTTCAAGAATTCCCAAAGGTAGCCTAACCGTGCGGTCGGCCAATTGTAAGGACATTCTTGTTGGCTTCAAGTCTCCCACTTTCAAACTCTTAGAAATAGAATAGGGCATCAAACTCACACTTTCCCCAAGATCACATAAAGCATCCATAGCCTCTAAGTCTCCAATCTTCACCGGTATTGCATAGCTACCGGGGTCACCAAGCTTTTGAGGGAGCTTGTTTTGAATGATTGCATTCACCTCCTTAGGAAGGGAGATGGTTTTACTCTCTTCAAGCCTACTCTTGTTGGATAAAAGATCCTTCAAAAAATTTTCATATGTAGGCATTTGTGACATAGCATGAAGAAAGGGAATATTCACTTGAAGTCCTCTCATGACTTCAAGAAAGTTTGAAAACTTTTCATTCAATTTCTTTTCAACAATCCTATGAGGGAATGGAATGGGAGGCTTGTATACTTTCATAGGGGGCTTTTCTACCTTTTCCTCATCTCCCTCATTCTTACTTTGTGGCTCCTTTCTCTCAACATCAACTATCTCATTTTCAAACTCATCCTCATTTCTCACCACAACTCCCTCATCTCTCTTTTGTGGCTCCTCTTCACTCATAACCGACCCTTCATAACCTCTCCCCGATCTCAAAGTGATGGCCTTAGCTTGCTCCTTTGGGTTCACAACCGTTGAGCTTGGGATGTGACCACTAGGATTGGAGGATGAACTTCCAACTTGTTGCGCAATTTGAGCCAATTGATTCTCAATTATCTTGTTGTGTGCTTGAAGTTGTTGGATGTTCGCTTGCATATCCGCATTGCTTCTTCCTTGTTGTGTAATGAAGGTTTCAAGTGCGACTTCAAGGCTAGATTTTTGAGGAGGTGGAGGAGCGAGTTGGTTATATTGTTGCCTTTGTTGGTTTTGGTCCCTTTGGTTAGGGTGACGGTAAGGAGCTTGTTGGTTTTGTGGATGAGATTGGTTGTATTGATTTTGAGGGGGGCCTTGATTTTGTTGTTTCCAACCCGTGTTTTGTTGGGGTTTCCAACCTTGATTGTAGGGTTGAGAGTATTGATCGTTTCTTTGCCCAATAGCCGCAGCTTGTTCTTGGTTAGTTGAGTTGCAATAGGAGGACAAGTGATCATTTCCTCCACAAGTTTCACAAGACATGACTTGTTGTGAAGAAGAGCTTGGAGATGTAAGGGTGGCTTGATCTAGCTTATGAGCTAGCATGTCAAACTTTGATGCAATAAGGTCTATTGCACTAAGGTCGTGGATTCCGCCCTTCTTTGCTTGAGGTTACCGTCTATCACCTCCGTATGCATAGTGCTTTGCCACTTCTTCAATCATCTTGTATGCATCATCCACCGATAGCTTTTTAAGGCTACCACCGACCCCGTTATCAAGGTTGGCCCTTGAAGTAGGAGTAAGACCATCATAAAAGCGTTGAACAATGATCCATGACGTGAAACCATGGTGTGGGCATTTTCTAGTGTAGTCCTTGAAACGCTCCCAAGCTTCACTTAAGGTTTCATCAATCTCTTGGTTGAAATTGGTGATTTTCCTTCTTAGTTCGGCGGCCTTTTCGGGTGGACAATACTTTCCAAGGAAAGATCTAGTAACTTCATCCCATGTGGTCAATGATCCCTCTTCTACCGTTCTCAACCAATGTTTTTCTTTGTCACGGAGGGAGAATTGAAACATGTGCATACGGATGAACTTTTCCGTAATGTTGTTTTGCTTGATGGTTGAGCACAATTCGAGAAAGTTGTCCAAATGAGCAAAAGGACACTCATGAGAACTCCCACCAAATTGATCACTTTGTATCATACGGATGAGTTGAGGTGAAAGCTCAAAATTATTTGCATTCGTAGTAGGGAGACGTATGCCACTCCGAAGTGTGAAGGCATTGGGGTGGTCATAATCCCATAACAATGGTGTAGGAGGATCGTTGTCACCCATGTTATCTTCTTCGTTGGTTGCAAAGATTTCCTCCGGATCGGAATCCGAATATACAATAGAGAACTCGGGTGTGCCTTGCAAAAGCCTCCTCATGTTTCTCAAAGTCCTACTTAACTCTGGATCAACGGGAATAAGCGGTGATTGCTTACTCTTCTGTGTCATGAAAGGTCAAACAAAGCTAAGAAAAACGTTAGCAATGACTATCACAAGTTGAAAACACAAATATACAAAAATAAATAAGAAATATTATGATACAAATATACACACTTAGACTCATTCAACAATAATACATTCAATGTGACTTTGCCTCCCCGGCAACGACGCCAAAATTTGATAAGCCGTCGTCGAGCCTACCAAAGATAAAGTCCTATCTTGGTCTCACTAGCTAATAGCAAGGGTAAGAAAGGGTCGAATCCAAGAGAGGCATTGAATCAACCACCGAAATACTACCGCATAAATAAGCTAAATGAAGTCGAAATTGGTTTGGTTTTATGTAACAAGTACTAGTTCAAGTCAACTAAAGCTAGGGGGAGATTAATTAGAGAGTTCTAGGGCTTGGGATATACCACTCAATTTCGTCACAAATCACAATTAGCAAGTAGCAAACAATGGTAATTAAAGGGGATAATATAGGGGAAGTCATCTAAAGCACCCAACTACTCTCTCAAGCTAGAGGGATTACTCGAATTATGAATACAACCTACTCTCGTGGTTACAAAGCATAAAACAACTATTAAAGCATAATCACGATGACAAAAACATTCCCTTGACTGGAAATTTCTATTCTCATGGTATTTCAAGTCAATTAAGCATAAGGGAGCTAACTCAACTTCATCTCTCGATCCTTCGTTGAGAAAGCTTAGATAATAGTTCTAGCAATGGCTATATACAAGAACTAAGCAATTAAACCACTTAAGCTCAACTAATTAACACCCAACAATTACCAAATTAACACATGCAACAAGTAATTAGTGACTACATTGAGGGTTTTACCCAAACCCTAGAAAATTAGACTACTCACAATCCATGGAGATTAAAGCAATTAAGGATTTCAAGTAACTCATGAACAAGAATTAACCAAAGATTAAGCTAAATAACAATCTAAGCATACAAGAATTAAGCAATATGATTAAAAATCAAAGCAATTAAAATGGAAGAGAAGAGTGAGAAAATGTTACTAGAAGCTTCAACTTGAATATCAATGGTGGAACTTGTCTTCTACAAAGATTGAGAATCAAATTTCCAAGCTAATAATTATAATCTAGCTAATGATTTGAGACTATTTGTGTTTCTACCATTGCAAACTAAGAGGAGGCACTAAAACTTAGATGCCGTACAAATGAGCTTCCCAGGTTATTTATAAAGACCCCCAAATAAAAAGGACGGAGAAAACAAGAGTCGGGCACGGCTACAGGTCAGCACGGACGTGCTGAGGTTGGCACGGACATGCATCTATACCTGCACGGACGTGCTGAGATTGGCACGGGCGTGCACCTGGGAGGCAGAAGGATCAGTTTTGGCTGAGCAACCTGCACGGACGTGCAAGATTAGGCACGGACGTGCTGAATAACCTGCACGGGCGTGCTGAGTTCTGCACGGACGTGCAGGCCTTGAAAGCAGTAGGCAGTAGCTTCTGGTCGTGCTGGAACACTTCTGCACGGACGTGCCATACTTTTCACGTCCGTGCAGACTCTCTAAGGACTTTATCTTCACTTTTCTTCGGTTTTGCTCCATTGTTTCGGCTTCTAACCTCGGTTTATCATCCAAATGCCTCAAATGGTCGCCTTTGAACCTGGAAACCCCAATGAAAACACTAACAACCCGTGAAGCAAGGGATACACAAAAGTTGAACAAAAATAGAGTAAAAGTTAACCAAAATGCCAATATACCAAGTAAACAAGGTTCGAAATCACTCTAAAATCTTATCAAATAACAAGTTATCACTGGGGAGGGTTTCTATTTTAATTCCTGAAATTTATTTTGGCAATGATTTAGAATGAGTGGGTGAGACTCGAAAAGTTCTAAGTATTTCATGTGCGTAATTTTGATTAACATTATTGTCATATGCATAAAAAATATCTCATTGGAAAGACCATTCGTAATGAGTTAAAACATAGGATTTTTACACGTAGGAAATTGAGGAATATCTTTCACAACTAGGATCGAAATAATACTGCGCGAAACTGAAAAATTTTATCAAGCATAGAAAGCTGTTGAGGCATGTAGGAACTAGCGTAGAAAACAGAGTCTAGCGCCAGGCGACAGCTTCTGTCGCCAGGCGCAAAAGCCAAATCGTTGGCGTCGGCCTCTGTTTGCTGGCGCCAAGTTCTTCCAATAACAAGCCAGATATATGAGTTCTAATTTTGACCAATTTTTAGCACTGTTTGCCCGATCCTACTTCTTGATTAAGTTTTTCTCACTTTCCTGAAACCCATATGTGTTCTACATATGGACATAACTGTAGGGAATATTTCAAGCGTTAATCCCCTAGCTTGAACCCTACTGTGATCATACACTAAAGTAAGGTGGCGTCCAAAGGGAAAGAAGATAGAGCAAAAGAGTCGCCAACAAGTTTTTTTAGAAACTTGTAAACCATTCACGAGGTGAAGGTAACACCCCTTAACGATCCAAGAGATCGTCAACTCTAATAGGTCTTGAACCAAATAGGGTTTGGGGATGAAGGTACAAATCCAACCTAAAAGAGATTGAACCTGCCCTAGTAATAGGCCTCTACTTTATTCTGATCGTATTCATTTTCGCTTTCTGACTAACATGCAATCAATAGGATTACCCTAAACCTGTTTATCTATGTTGGTTGAATATAATGCACAAATAAAACTATTATTGGCGATCACTTGATTTATAATCAAATTATCCCTAAACAAGATTATTAATTATCTTATTAAGCGTGACTACAAGTACAAATTCCCTTTAAACATGCATAAAAGGCGTGATCAAGCAATAACAATAAATAATATCAAGCAACATAATAATAATCATCATAATCATAATAATAATAGAAAGATCCTAGGCATGATACTAACAAGATTAATAACAAACCCTAGCATGTCACTAAACAATAAAAATCAAAGTTTTAACCCTAACATGATACTAACAATCATAAATTTTAGGAAGAACATAAAAGGCATCATAACAATCATATTTAGTATTAAAGTTACCCTAGACATGATACTAGGAATCAAAATACCCTAAGCATGAAATCTATATCATAACATCAAAAACCATTAAAGTACTTACTTTGATGACTCGTACCTCTTTCTAATAACAAAATACACGCGTTAGTAACTTTAAGGAAAATATAAAACAAAACAATTAAATTAAATAATTGAAAGAGAGATTTGGGACCAAACCCCAGAAATTAAACCTTTCACGTCTAGGACGAAGGCAACTTCGAATATGGCTAGGTGTATCTAAGTCTTGCGAATGCGGAATTTTTATATTTAAGAGAAGGCTAGTTTAGAAAAGAGAGAGAGAGAGAGAGTAATCAAGAGAATCTTGATGAGAGTTGGTGAAAATTGGTTAATGAAAATGGAGTTTTTAGCACATTATTTATAGAGAAAATCAGCCAAAAAGAAATATCAGAAACAGAGTTCTGACACAAAAAGCCAGATTAGCGCCAAACGCTAACCTTAGCGCCAGGCGCCAAGCGTAGCGTCAGGCGCTACAGCTGGCATTTGGCGCTGACTAAGAATTTGACGCATTTTCTAAAAATCAGATAGAAATTACCGTACAGGAGGATAAAATCGTATTTTCCTCAAAAACGTTCTTTTGTTCTGATTAAAACTCTAAAAAGCTAACAAAAGTCAATTTATCAATGCTAATTGAATTAGGAATGAAAAGAACCTTCTAGAAGAATCTAGAAAACTAAAACCATTTCTAATTGCATTAGGAATGATAAATCCATATTAGGCCCTCCTCTAGATCATTGGGCCGTATATAAGGCTCAAACCAGGCCCAGTTTAGTAATTTGGCCATAACTTCCTCAATATTCATCGGAATTGGGCCTATAATATGTCGTTGGAAAGCTCAAGCCCCATCCAACTACAATATTATTGGACCCACATCATGGACCAACCAAACTGGATTGGGTGTTTTCTTAAAATAGGTTTTCAAAAACAAAGAGAAGAGAAAAGAAATTAAAACTATCCGGAACACTAAACTTTCCACACTTTCACTTCATTCGATTATGATTCAACGTGAAAGATACTCATCACTGGATTTGGTTCTGGGGAGACATAAATGAGTGTCTA